CTGATTGTTTTCCTTCACGGATTTCAGGAAGCTGTCTCGGCTCTTAGAGTGCTTAACGTGGTCAATACGGACATTAATTATCTTGGTAAGAATCTTGCCCTCATTTGTTTACCACAATACCAACAGCATGCTGGGTTGCACCGTAGACTCTTCCAGCTCTGCCATGGTAACACTTGTGGGGCCTTCCTTTTTGAACAGTACCCATTCCCTTGATGTCTACAATATCAGCTTTCTTACAGGTTCGCATACATGTGGCCAAAGGAACAACTCCATGTTTTCTAAAAGGCCTAAAGAACATATATTGGGTGCCTCTCCTCTTTCCCTTTGTGTTCGTCATTTTGGCAAATTACTGGAAGATGGTGGTTTCGATACCAGGCTCTTTCACTAGGTCTGACAGCACTACCTATGTACTACTCTCAATATCTCTGTACAAAAATGTTGCAGGCCAGCAGCCTGCAGGCTTAATTCAGACTGCATAGCAATTTTATGTGGTCTGACTTCCACTGCCTCAAGTGTTGTTTAAAAGCAAAACAAAACAAAATTAGAAGAGTTGCCAACATTTTTAAATTGGAAGAAGATTTTACATAACAATCCATTTTTTGCTGCCATCTTTTGAAACATTGGCATATCTAGGGCATTGTGCCCACTTTTTCACAAGACAACAGAGGCTGGAAGTTAGTAGCAGCTGGTACATTTTGACAGCAGCACTCTCATTAGCTATCGTTCCCACCTAGCATGCTTCTGCCATGGTAATGATTTATATTATCTAGCAGGCATGATTTTGCCATCCTTTCATTTACTTTGGGGTAGATAAAAGACCATTTCACAAGATTCCTGAAAATGTTGACTTCCTGTTGACTTCCAAGCTCTTCTGCCTGAAAAAATTTCAAAATCCTAGGTTTGGTTTTATAATCTTCCATTTTATTTATTTATTTATTTTTAGAGACAGGGTCTCACTACATTGCCCAGGCTGGACTCAAACTCCTGGGCTCAAACAATTCACCTGCCTCAGCCTCCCAAGTAGCTGATACTATAGGAACATGCCACCACTCCCAGATTTATACTCTTTCTTATGTAATAAGAATGGTGAGACTTGCAAAATTGCCATAACCATTTTTCTTTTGAAGAATTAATACAAAACCACTGGAGATCAAGAACATTGTCAGCATTCACCAATGATTATGGTTTCTCAAAAGCTTTTGAAAAGTCGTTCACTCATAACATTCTAGGACTGAATGGGAACAAAATGCCATATAACTTAAATGCCCATATTATATTTCCCTTTGTAACCTCTCTTTAGGTGGTGATGCAGGTAATGCTTCATTATTTCCAGTGATGGGGAACACTCTGAGGGTCCATTTTTTTATGAGGTTTGATTATTAGAAGGCAAAACAGAGCCAAAATTTATCTCCATGTCACTTTCACCCAATGGCCATAGTTTTGTTCCTTGGAAACTTGAGGAAAACTTCTACATGTCATCCCTTATAATAGTCCTTTAAATATGTGAAGTCATTATCATGCTTCTGAGGCTTTGTACCCAGCGGCATATCCTCAGATCGTTCATTCTTCAGATGTTTTGAGTCAGCCTCCTGGCCACAGTCTTCTTAATGCAGTTTTCTCACTGCATGCTCTCAATGCAGTCTTCTCTCTGTCAATGCAGTCACAGACTTCTCAATGCAGTCAGTCTTCACAATGCATGCTCTGGTTTACATGTGTCTGGTTTATATCAGTTCCTTCCCTCTCTGCACATGTATGCTGCTCCTCACACTAGGAGGTAGAATCCATTTTCCTTGCCTTTGAATCTGAGCTGGCCTCACAGTAGCTAGTTTCTTCCTTAGCTTTTAAAAGGGCTTGTCTCTGCTTCTTCCTCTTGAACCTGGCAACTATGTAAGAAGTCTGACTACACTCAGGTCACCGTACTGTGAGGAAGTCCCTCTCCGTGGGGAGAGGTCTCATGGAGCACGTGATCACTGGCTAGGCTCAGCTTTCCCACCTATGCCATCTAAGAAGCCAGAAGTGTGTGAAGACGCATCTTTCTTATTCTAGTCCTAAAATATGCCCATTTTGGCTCTATCCACATTGCAAAGTCATAAAAAATGATACATTGTTGCTATTTTAGCCCCTGGCTTTGGGTTGGTTTTTTAGGTAGCAATAGGCAGCTGGAAACCTTGCCAAGATATTCATAACCCTTTTTAATTGTAGCAACAAAGCTACAGACATGTTCTTTACATGTTCTCATTAAAGATGGGCCAACATTTATGGGGTCAGATAAACATTTTTTCCAATTCTAGCTGCTTTTTCTTTTTTTTTTTTCTTTATATAACTCTTCCTGACTATAGAAACATATGAACAAAAATGATTAATCATTGGTAATACTGGGAGGTTACTATGTTGACTAAAAAAAATTCAACTGAGACAAGAACAAAACAAAGCTGACAACAGAAATGTTTAAAAGGTAGTTCTTCAGGGTATCTTTGGAGACCTAAACACAGGGTCTTTATTCATTTCTGATTAATGCTGCCTCAGCCTAATGTTAAGGTGATTATCTAAATCCTGACCAGTTGCCATAGACTATTTATACAACTCAGATCAAGCCATGTTGGAGGCAGCGACTCCTAGAGGGAAGGAGAGCATCACGAGGGAAACTGACAACACGGACAACTGTGTGATTCATGGAGGAGACTGTCCCCACTCACAGCAGGATTAAGTGCCTTCGCAAAAAAGAAATTACCTACTTTGTATCCTTTTACTTCCGACTCATTATCCAGGGCCTTCACTTGATCCCAATTCAGGATAATTTTGGAGTCCGATGAATTCCATATGATGTTTCCGGGGGGTTGACTTGGTGCTATAAAAAAATTAAGATATACGAAGTCACAGATTATTAAATCTCAATGGATTCTGAGGAGTGTCTCCTTACTAGAATTCTAGAGTGGAGGCAATTTAATGGGCTATTGCACTAATATGTGTCTTCAAGGTCACTAAAATCTGATGAGATACAGCATTGCAAATGGAAAAAGATTCAGTTGGTCGCCTAACATTTATAGCTAAAAGAAGTAGCCCTTCCCAGTGAGGAGAAAAACATTTATCTTTCCGTCCTCCAGAGCAATGAATTTTGCATGGTATTCCGAAAGGTTCAGTTAAAATGCTGAGGGAAATTTGAATCCACGTGCTACCAATTAGTATGCAAATGATCACTGGGAGGTGGGGACAGGAAATAAACTTGGGATATGTGTGATGAATCCCCAAAATATTTCTGAGCAAGTCTGTTCTTACGTGGCTTTCTCGTGGTCACATTGACTGTTGCACTAGAGGGGCCTGTCCCAGCGGAATTATATGCCTTGACAGCTAAGTGATAGAGCGCACTGCCCTTTAAGTTCGTGATTTTTATTGATGTCTGATTTCCAACTGTTCGTATTTTTCTAGCATTTTCTTCTTTGTCTTCATGTCTCCAATATTTAACCTAAGAAATAAACAGAAAGACCTTGGAAACCATACTCAGTAGGGATATTCCCAATGTCATCAGGTAATTTTGTACGCAGATTCTTATAATGGAGTTAGTTTTCTATACCACATCATGGGCAGAGCTTTCAGGACAAAAGACTTTGTATATCCTGAGAAAATTATCCACAGTAAGAAGGGTTCCTTTTTGTCCTTAGCTTCCTAGTGAGATGGTACATCGACACAACCCTTGTTCATTATTTTCTTTTTTCCCATGTTTGTTTTGAGTCCAAGCAATGCTGGGCATATCAGAAGTCATAGCTCATTTTGCCAACCATCTCATGAATGATTAGATTTGCATATACTTTGAAAAATATCTCTAGAGTATAACACAGAAAAAGGGTAGTTTCACAGCTGAGTATTCAATGCTTCCATTAGTGTTCAGCTGAAAGCCAGGCCTAAAACCATTGCCCTTAAATGTGAATGTGGATCTTTTCCCATAAGAATGTGGTTTGGAGGACTCACTCATGGATGAAGTCCTCTTTCAGACCCAAGGCATATATCTCTTGCTTACCTCATAACCTTGTATTCGTCCTCTATTCTTCTCCAGTGGGGAAGCCCAGAAAACTTCAATATCTGTGGCAGAAAGACTTCTGGCAAAGATACTGGCTGGTGGTTTGGTTGGTTCTATAGATGAATATGGAAGTAGTTATTACTCTATCAGCTATATGAGGACAGGCTTGTAGATACTGGCATTATAAGGTAAAATAATTCATGGTTATAGAAGTGTCCTTAATGATTGTAAGCCAAACTCATTTACAGAGGAGCAGTGATTAATAGCCAGAGTTGGTGGTAGTGAATATTCGTCCAGTATTTGGGTTCTGAATTTAGGTGTGGGTAGAAGAGAACTACTTAAGTTTTAGCACCAAGTTTTCGTAGCCAGCAATTCCTTTCACACAGATCATTCTTAATTAGCATCTCACAAATGTTATTGCTTACAACATGGCTAAACTACTTTTCTTTTCTTATTTGAGATAGGGTCTCACTCTGTCACCCAGGCTGGAATGTAGTGGCACACTCATGGCTCACTGCAGCCTGACCTCCTGGACTCAAGCCATCCTCCCACCTCAGCCTCCCAAGTAGCTGGGATGGCCCACAGAAGTGCCACCATGCCTGGCTAATTTTTTATTTTTATTTTTGTAGAGACTGGTATCTTGCTATGTTGCCCAGGTGGGCTTCAAACCCCTGAGCTCATGCTATCCTCCCACATCCCCCTCTCAAAGTGCTGGGATTACAGGCATGAGCCACTGTGCTTGGCCACTAAATTTTTCTTTAAGGAAGTCTATTGGAAGAAAAATGTTAACATACACAAATGGTACACAGCTATGGCAGAAATCCGGCAAAAATAACTGAAATTTGGGAAACAGTCAATCTAGCCTCTCCTTTGCAGCCAAAGAAGCTGAGGCCCAGAAAGTATAAGTGACTTATCCAAGATCATACACATTGCAGTGTGGACCTGAAGTGTTACCCAGCTCTCTTGAATCTTAGTAAAGTCAGCTGACTGTCCTTTTCCCCTTTTCCTCTCATTTTCATAATCCAGAGACATGAACTATTATCTAAGAGAAATTGAAGCCTATGCAAAGGCTGAAGCTTGTTTAAATAATTTTAAATCCTTTGGCAATGGTTGGAACATGAAATATGCAGGGAAAGGCATCAGGAGCTGAGACAGACAGAAAGGCAGCAGCTAGATCATGAAGGGCTACTGAATCTAAGGGGATGACCTCTTTAATGAGGAAGAAGTTATTGCATCTTCACTGACTCTAAATCAGTGATTCACCTTTCAGATGTTTTCACATGGTCTCATTCTCAGCATCATCTTTAAAACAACATAGACAAACTCCAGTGGTAATGAAAACTGTGTGAGAGGCATCCTGAGAGCAAGGATAGCATGGAAGTGGTAATAATGTGTGGGAAATGTTAAACATAATGAAGGTATGGATGACAATGAGTACAATCACACTGTTTCATGACTTACTCTTTTGTTTAATAAGTGAGAATAAATTATAAGCACAATATGCTTTATGAAAATACAAGTGGTAAGGAAATGCAAATTATATATTGATATTCACTTAAAGGCAAAAATAAAATTCTTTTGAAAGTAATGTAACATGTAGATAGACATGAAGATCTTATATAGTACCAGCAGTTCTGGTCCTTAGCAATGGAATCAATAATGGATAGCCATGTGTTTTCATATACAGAGCAGTTGCTGTCTTTTCAAGAGATTCATGGTGGACAATGAACCAAATTTTTTACATTATCCTCTTCTCAAATCAGGGATGCCTTCAATATATATGTACCATGCTAAATTGATTATACATCCTAAAATCCACATTTTAGAACTGAAGAAATATGGCTGGTTGCGGTGGCTCATACTTGTAATCCCAGCACTTTGAGAGGCTGAGGCAGGCGGATCACCTGAGGTCAGGTGTTCGAGACCAGCCTGACCAACATGGAGAAACCCCGTCTCTACTAAAAATACAAAATTAGCCAGGCATGGTGGCGCATGCCTGTAATCCCAGCTACTCAGGTGGCTGACGCAGGAGGATCGCTTGAACCCGGGAGGTGGAGGTTGCAGTGAGATCATGCCATTGCACACCAGCCTGGGCAACAAAATCGAAATTCATCTCAAAAAAAAAAAAAAAGAATTGAAGAAATATTAACAAGCAATGATTTAGGCAGCATAAACCATACCTTCTTCTGCAGAATACACCACTGTGGTGGGACTGAAAGGGCCTTCTCCTTTGTTGTTGAAGACACCTACTTTAACCTCAAAGGGAGAGAAGGGGCGCACGCTCTCATTCCTGAACACGTATCTGGAGGCGTCAGCAGAGGCCAGCACTGTCAGCATCCAGATCATTTTACCATAGGGCCGGAAGGCCACCACATAACCAAAGCCTCGACCATTCTGTAATTCCTCAGGGACTGTCTGGGAAAGAAGGGAAGTGGTCTTCAGAAATCATAGTAGTTTGAGTCAAATGCAAAAATCGTTTTTGTTTCTCCTGTAACATTCTTGTCTACATCCTTCTCCACCCATCTTATTCGGGGTTTTGTTAAAAGTCTTTTAAATTTAGGGCTTGTAGTCAGTCAGTCTATCTTAAGCAGTTACAAAGTACTGGGCAGGGTTGAAAAACGTAATGAAGATCTGCAGTCCAGAGCTTGCTCTTTGATGGGGCAGACCCAGCTCTGACACAGTTGGAAATGATTGTAAAAAAAAAATGGGCATTGTTCTCCTGAAAAACATTTCCAACATGTATCCTTTAATACTAATCTCCCTCCACTGCCAAATAGACAAAAGATCTCACTGATCCTTTGATCTTGGCTGAAGATCCTCTCTCTCAGAGGGAAGAGTTCAGCTGGAGGGATGAGTGATTTCTTTCACTGCTGTGCTCTGGGCAAATGAAAGATTTTAATTTCTGGAGCTGTTGTTTGGAATCTTTCAAAAACACAAACCCTTTCTAAAGCTCCCACCTCTTCTCTCAAAGCCAATTTTTAATAAATTGGTGACTAACTTTCCTCCAGGTTGTTTTAAAAACTACCTCCTAAAAGAAGGCCCCTTCTAGAAGCAAAGCCAATTGCCAGGAAATTGTGCTGGTGCACTGAATCTATTGCTAGCAGACGTTTTAAATCAATTGGCCATGCAGCAATTCAGGAAGAAAAGAAAAACTGGTTTTCTCCGAAACAGCCTTCTTTCTTTCTTTAGCTTGTGTTGTCTTCCCTTCATGATTGTTTTTACTCTGATGGATCGAATTAAAACTTGCCTCAACAATGGATGGGCAAGTGGTGTCTTTCCTGCTAGCCATCAGCTACGTGAGAGGGAGAGTCTGCACTCAAATGAATTTTCACCGTTAAAAACAGAGGAGGAAACTTTCAAGCTATGTCTATCTAACAGGAAGGAAAATAATAAAATAGCTTTGACACATGGATGTTCCTTTTATTTTGTGATTCATTTACCTCCCAGGTTATAACCAGTTCAGATTTGCTGCCTCCGCCACCACTGACGTTTGCTGGTGTGACTTCGGGGACTGCACAGGAGACAAGCAAACAGTTATGTCAGGCAGCAAAGGCGAATGAGGGTCAGGAAGGTTGCCTGGCAGAGGTGACTCACTTTCCATGAGTACTCTGAGGCAGGCCCCTTTGTCTTCGGAGATCAACAGCAGCACCTCAAGCAGCCCAAGGCATCAGCTCCAGGAAGTGAAATGTACCGAGACTGCTATTAATTACCTGTTTCCCATTCAACAAGGCACACATGTTATCTGACATGTCTGCCCAATTGTTCAGCTGCATCCCTAGAGGCTGAGGGGTTCTGGAAAGGGGGAAAGGACTGAGGCCTGTCCTAATGTTTGGTTCAGCGTTCATGAGCCATGTGGTGATACACAAAGGAAAGACAGTACAATTTTGGTTGGAGGGTGAGAGTGTCCACACCACAGTTAGAGCAAGTTCAGCAACAAGAGAAAGGTACAGTCAGCATGGGGAAGCACGGGGACACTCCAGATTAGCGGCCTGCCCAGAGCTGGGGTGGGCAAACAGCTTCTTGGAGGAAGACAGTTTTGATCTGGGTGTTGAAGGAAGTGGCAGACAGAGGTTGACCCGTGGCTCACTGTGCTTGCCCTCTTTTTCTCCAGTTTTCTTTATAAAAGAGAGGAAATTATATGAACTTGCACCTCAGGATTGCTGAGGGGAATTAATTCAATTATGGTTTTCAAAGGGGAAAAGAAAGCAGGGGACCAGCTATATTGTTGTCACCATGTGGCTGAAAGGTTCTGGGCCACATTTAAAAATGTCTCACTGGGGTGTGTGGCTAGTGGCTGGGTACATCTCCTTGGTTAAAGCCAGTCAAATAGATCTAGATGAGCTTTTGTTTTTCTGAGAGTAGGGTCAGAATTCCCATTTGTGTAGGGGGCTTGCTTTTCCTTCAACACAGTGGGCTCTCTACAGCTGGGAACTGCACACATAGGCCTCCTGCTTTACATGAGATAAGTAAAAGTACGGCTGGCCCTGGCCAGGTGTGGTGGCTCACGCCTGTAATCCCAGCACTTCTGGAGGCTGAGGTGGGCGAATCACCTGAGGTCAGGAGTTCTAGACCATCCTGGCCAACATGGTGAAACCCGTCTCTACTAAAAATGCAAAGTAGCTGGATGTGGTGGTACATGTCTGTAGTCCCAGCTACCTGGGAGGCTGGGGCAGGAGAACCACTTGAACCCAAGAGGCGGAAGTTGCAGTGAGCCAAGATCGTGCCACTGCACTCCAGCCTGGTGACAGAGCGAGACTCTGTCTCAAAAAAAAAAAAAAAAAAAAAAAAGTATGGCTGACCCTGATGAACTTGTTCCTCTCTCCCCGCGCTCATTCAAGGTGTATGTATATGCAAAGGGACATACTGAATTGCTGTATTAGCAGGATGTTCTGAAACTTAGTTTTTGGGCATAGTTTATACCCTAAGAAAATCTCGGTGAACATTTCGGAAGAAATTATGTTTTATTTTTATTCTTAGCCGGGCTACCTCATGGTGGCTGTTCCCAGAGAAGCCAGAAATTATTCTTTGCCATTAGTTACTAATGTGAGATAATTCGATTTGAAATATGGGGCATTTTGTTGAAGTCCTGTTAGAATCTTGGTGACAAAAGAACCAATGAAGAAAGGACTGGCTTTTGAGAGGACTAAGCACAGTGTGTCTCTTGCTGTACAGGTGGACCTAATGAAGAAGCTTAACTCTTGATTGAAACCCATTGCATGTTCAGCTGGGCTTCTCCTGGCCTGATTTCTATCATTATCATCATTTAAGGGGAAGGGTATGCCAACATAGAGCCACATGAGCACTGAAGCTCAGCAAGAATTCAAAGCCTTTCCCTAAGGAACAGATGATCTGAATCCCGGGTGCTACTCACGGGCTTCTTCTGTCCTCCGTTTCTCTGAGGGCCGGCTGGGCTCCCCAATCCCAATCACATTGGCTGCAACTGTGCGGAATTCATATTCAACCCAAGGGTTCAAACCCACCACGGTCGCTGTGAATGTCTTCCCATCAATGAGTTCTGGGACTGAAAGACAACAAAAGTTGGAGGCTGTTTCAAAGGGTCTCAGAAAACAAATGCAGAGATTACATTAGGAAGATAGGAACATCCACCCATCCTCATTGTTATTGCATTCAGGGAAGTGTCAGTATTCTCATATTAGCCGCACCAACAGCTGTTTCAGTGAGGTAATCTCAGAACTATCTCTGTATGTTAAACTAACACACTAATCAGTTACCTGCAGATGACATCGTAAAAGACACGAAGTCCTCAAGGCTCCAAGCTACCTGTCTCAATCATTACTATCACCACTTCACATGTGTTTCAGCATTTATTACGTAGTGCCAGATAATGTTATTTCAACTATCCCGTGAGAAAGGTGAAAGTATTCTTTTTTTCTTTGAGACAGGGTCTCTCTGTCACCCAGGCTAGAGAGCAGTGGCACAATCTCAGCTTACTTCAACCTCCACTTCTCAGGCTCAAGCAATTCTTGTGCCTCAGCCTCCCAAGTAGCAGGGACTATGGGTACACGCCACTAAGCCTGTCTATTTTTTTTGTATTTTTAGTAAAGATGGGATTTCACCATGTTGCCCAGACTGCTCTCAAACTCCTGGGCTCAAGCGATCCGCCCATGTTGGCCTCTCAAAGTGCTGGGATTATAGGTGTGAGCCACCGTGCCTGGCCTATATTCATTCTATATAATTCTTACTGTGCTCATTTAACAAAATAGAAAAATGAAGATGTATAGAGATCAGCTGATTAGCTGTCAGGACTAGAATTCATCTCCTAACTTCCATATTTTTCTCATCTTTACTTCTTAAAGCACTGCTATGACTCAGTAATTGCAGTAGGAAACATATAAACCCATTTCTAAGGATTGGTAAACTAAAATGAAAAAACAAACTGGAGTTAAAATCAGTAAGATTCATATGAATTACACAACACTGGGCATATTCTTCAAAACCTCAAGGCCATATAGCTACCTTTGCTGTCTAGAGGACTGTGTATTTTGTTTGTAATAACTACTTGTTCATCCAACTTATCCTTAAATGAAATCTAAGTAAGAAAATGAGCCAATCTGGAGGTACTGACGGAAGTGGGAATGGTGTAAGAATTCTTTAAGATGCAAAGAGAAATAACTATGAAACTTTTTAAAATAGGGAGTGCTATATAAACGTAATAAAGGGAAACCTGAGGAAAGTGCTGCTGCTAACAACGTTTTTTAAAGAATTTGTTAAAAATTGGTTAAAAAGAAATCTCATGTCTTTTTATCCCCAAATTTATCCATCTAAAACAATGGGGCTGGGCACAGTGGCTCACACTTGAAATCCCAGCAGTTTGGGAGACTGATGCAGGAGAATTTCTTGAGTCCAGGAGTTTGAGACCAGCCTAAGCAACATAGCAAGACCCTGTCTCTACAAAAAATTTCAGAGAAGTAGGTGGGTATGCAGGCATCTGTCTGTGGTCCCAGCTACTCAACAGTCTGAGGTGGGAGGATTACTGAACCCAGGAGGTTGAGGCTGAAGTGAGCTGTGATTGTACCACTGCACTCCAGCCTGGGTAGCAGAGAGACCCTGGTCTCAAAATAGAAGAGCAGCAAGTGAAGAGGCTCCCTATAGTCCTCGGTTATTGGTTTTTTGAGAGCACTGTGCAAACTTTACAAAGCCTCTGACTACAGTCAAGCAGAATCCACTGCTTTCCAAAGTGTACCACAGTGCTGCACAGATGATTTTAGATAATACAGATTGATGCATTTTATTTTTATTTTTTATAAGTAACATATTTTTAATATGTGTTAGGGAAAATATATATGTAACCACCACAACAGACATATCTTTTTTTTTTTTTTTTTTTTTTGAGACAGGGTCTTACTGTCCCTCAGGCTGGATGTTCAGTGGTGTGATCTTGGTTCTCTGCAACTTCCACCTCCTGGGCTTAAGCAATCCTCCCACGTCAGCCTCCGGAGGTGCTAGGACTAAAGGCGTGTACAACCATGCCAGGCTAATTTTTGTATATTTTGTAGAGTCAGAGTTTCGCCATGTTGCCTAGGCTGGTCTCAAACTCCTGGGCTCAAGCGATCCACCCACCTCAGCCTCCCATAGTGCTGGGATTACAGGCGTGAGCCACCAAACCTGGCCTGGACATGCCATTTCACAGATACTATTGCCTAGGATGAGTTAAACAAAAAACAACTGTGATTTGATACAAAGAAAAATATTGGCCAGGTGCAGTGGCTCACACTGTAATCCCAACACTTCGGGAGGCCAAGGTGGGCGGATCACCTGAGGTCAGGAGTTTGAAATCAGCCTGGCCAACATGGTGAAACCCCGTCTCTATTAAACATATAAAAATTAGCTGGGCTTGGTGGTGGGCACCTGTAATCCCAGCTACTAGGGAGGCTGAGGCACAAGAATCGCTTGAACTCTGGAGGCAGAGTTGGAAATGAGCCGAGATTGTACCACTGTGCTCCAGCCTGGGCAACAGAGCAAAATGCCCTCCCAAAAAAAAAAAAAAAAAAAAAGAAAAGAAAAATATTAATGATAGGTGTACAGTTGGCCAAGGTTTAGGAAACACTGCCATAATATATCATTTGTAGTAGTGTCTGAATGAGAACTTAGATGTTCCTTGCTACAGCGCTATGTCTGGTATGCTGAGTTCCCGATGTCACTGAGTGAAGCATCCAATATGGTACCTGTACTGACTGCTTGCCAGCCCACGGAGAATGGAGTCCTGGCTTGAATGACATACATGGTGATGGGGCTGTGGTTGTCAGGCCCGGGTCTCCAGGAGAGCTGAGCAGTGGTGTCTGTGATTTCATCTATTGTCACAGCCTCTGGGGGACCTGGAGGACCTGGGAAAGAGCAAGACCCCCAGAATTGGAGCAGTGTATTCAAATACCCAAGTAAAGGATCCACATATTTGAATGGGGCATTGACCCATTTATTTATAAACCCACTCACAGATTCATCACTTGTTAAATCCTTTGGAGTTCCAACTATATGTTGGGAACTTTGTTTGGCTTGGAAGCCACAGAGATAAATGAGACACAGCTCCTTCCTTTGAGGAGCCCACAGTTTAATATGAAAAACTAATAGGTAAACAAATAATTACAACAACATATTTAATGTTAATAGAGAATACTGGGGTACCATAAGGGTCCATATTCATTAATTCATCATCTATTTATAGGCTCCTACTATGGATCAGACAGTGTTATTTGGGGATATAGTAGTGAGAAAAGATAGATGTTGCTCCTGATGTCATAAAGATTATAGTCTGCTAGAAATTGTTATTTCTACCACTGGGAGTATAGATTTGAGCAGAAATGGCTTTAAAACTTTGAAGGTTAAAGTGCTGCTCTGCACATTCTGCTGCTCTGTAATTACTAGCACTCTCCTCAACCCCCAACCCTGCATCCCACATGAGCACACACTTGTGTGCAAGGGAACTGCTGTGAAAATGGCCAGTGCGGAACAGTCAAGGCGCTCTCTTCTTCAAAGCAATCTCAAAATTGAGCTGGATTCTAAAGACCCTCATTTGCAGTTTCTGCAAGTCATACCTGTATTTTTCTACCTCTCTTCCTGATGTTCATTGTTTCTGTCCATGTACTTAAATCATGGACAGGGGGAGAAATCAGATTTAAATGAAGGCTTGAAACTAATAAAGAAATAGAGGGATGAAAAGCAGCTGGCAGGTAAAGACGAAATATCAACAAAGCCAGAGCGAAGACCCACAGCTACCCTACTTTCCAACATGAAAATCTCTTACCAGGCAGTTAAATGCATTTTTAACAAGGTGCAACTGACCACCTCAGGAGGGAAGGTGATGGTGAGACGACATAATGACAAACCTCATGCCCATTAGATGAGCATAAGGAGATATTCCTAGGAGGGATTTGCTAATCCCCAGTCTAGCAATCAAATGTACTACCCAAATACTATCTGGCCATGTCACAGGGACAGGGGAAAAAGAGACCTCTCACAGAGCAGTGCAACGTTAACGGCAATTTCCTGAAGTTAGACTTTGTTCTAGAATTCACTCCTTCACCCTTTACGTGATGCCCTAAATTCTCTTTCCTTTTTTAAAAATCATTTTTATAGACCCTCAGGTGAGACTAAATTTATCTTCTCCCTCCCACTCCTGAATGAAATGTCTGGAAATCTATATCCTGGAACTGATTAATTTTCCATGGTGACATTTCAGCATGTCAGTCTAATGCCACCGAGATAGAGTTGATGTAACCTTTGGTCTTGGGACCTGTTTTAACCAGATAAAGTCTAGAAGACAATTTAACTTTTACTTTTTTTTTTTTTTTTTTACCAGTTTTCTCATCCTGGCATCCCCCACCTTTTTTCTTTATGGATGCTGCATCGATGGCCTTTAAAACCAAAGTACCACAAATAGAAAAGTGTTTCCCTCTGAACTCTTCAAAGAATTAAATCAATAGGAAATACCGAGGTCCATTGTTGGCCTCTCTATAGGAAGGAAATGAAGGGCTGGTATGAATTTGGCCACTGGAGAGAAGATAGTACGTTCCTGGATTTGTTTGTTCTTTTTTATCTTCCGGTCCCCAGTTCCTACCCATGCGTAGATACGACCTTACAGAGTGTTTACCAACTTTGTTTTGGGGAAGTTGACTCCCTCTTTCAAAATGAAAAATGTACAAATGTTTGTCCCCTGAACAAAATGATAACAAACTCAGCGGCATGTAGAAGATTTTGTCCTTGGCAACGGCAAAGAGAAGATTGGTTTGATTCTGGGGTCTGCTTCTCCCTCAGGAAGGGTGGCCTTTCTGGCTGCCATTAGAGTACTATATGTTAAATAGAACAGGCCTCAGAAAATCAAAGAAACTGGAGCCAAGACTCAAAGCTGCTATAGTTTCAAATATGAAAATCTCTTTCAGGGTGGTGAAATACATTCCGCCTCCCTTCCCTGTAATGTGCAAGAAAAGCTGCAAGGGCAGAGCTGAAGGAGATAAAATGAAAGATTATGGTTTTAAACAGCATATTAATTTATTGGCCTTATTAACTGATTAGACTAGATTTTCTTTTAGACTGCGTTTGCAAATTCCTCCTGGTATTTAATGTTATTTTCTGTGAAATGAAGTATACAATATCATTTAAGAACTTCAAGTATTACTGATTTAAATATTTATTAGTCTAATTTGTTGGTGTTTAAACTGCTAATCTGAACATTATCCTAATTAAATAGAGGATAAATTTTCAGCAACAGAATTCTTTTGTTCCCAAGGGGAGAGCAGAACAGCACTGGTATATCTTAAAATGGAAATAAACACATTTCTATAAGTTATTATATGGGCAGATATACCTAGGTTAAAAGTTTTTTCTCATATCTAGCCCTTGTCTACACTGTTACTGACAGTTTTTTTAAAAGGCAATTTAAAGGGGAACAAAGCAGACACATTGGAACTACTATTTTTCTTCAACCTCTCTTGACAATTAGTTTAAGTTGCTAACTCCCACACATTTCCCCCCTTACTTTATGCCAAGAGGATATAGCAAAACTCTTTATGGCTTCCAATAATACTTTGTTCTCTGTGCATGCAGATTAACCCTGCCTCCAATTCTAATACCCTAAATTTACATTTTCTTGCATTCGAAGTTTTGCCATGCACTCTGCCTGCTGTCCAAATATGCCTCAACCCCAACAGTTACAGATTCCAATGAAGGAGACCCTAGCCAAGAGATTATTTTGATGTCTGGATTGGCCTCGCTTAATGCTATAGAAAGCCCCTAAGCATGCATAGGTTGGATTTTGGTATGTACACTGGTTTGTGAGGATTTTAATTTTCATTTAAAAGTATTTCTTAAAAGTCCATTTACAGTTTTTTTGCCAACTGGTTTGATGAGGCTTGGAATGTACTCAATTGGTGTGGCTCAGCTGAGGGGTCACAGCTCTCAGGTCCAAATTAGTTCATATTGATAATATTCAAGAGAATCTCAAAAATGTTAGTATTTACATCAACTCTCAGCTTATTTACTATATCCCAGGCAGTCAGGAAGTGTCCTCTCCCAAAACCCTATTTTAGGAACTGAACAGCACTGTGAAGTTTAGGGAAAAAAGCAAACTCGGAAAAACCTGGTGATAATTTTACTTAAGCTGCTGTTATATCAGTGGCCTAGGATACTAATTCAATTTAGCCCAGATGAAATACAAAAAGGCACAGTTTAATCCCTCTTTAAACTATCTGCTTTTGTTCACCTAAAATTATTCTAGGAGGTGATATCAACTCCAACAGCCATCATCGGTCACTTGAAAGAGTTATTTTTAGCGTAAAGTTACTGGATGTGTTTGGTGCATTTTCTGACAACCGCCACTAAGGAACTGTACATGCACAAGAAACTTTTATGGACTTTTAGCCACTGTTTACAATGTTCAGCTTCTGCCTGACTTTTTTCCATAATTCTAAACCACTGAGGTTTTTGGAACTCTGTGCTAGAGTAGATATCACGAAAGTATTTCAAGAACAACAACAACAAAATCCAATACCTCTTACAATCAGGTCTGCAGCAGCAGAGAGCCTGTCCACACTTGTTTGGACCATGCAGACATATTTCCCAGCATGCTTCAGTTGGATGTTTCGGATCATCAAATCACCAGCTGAATCCTGCTGATAAAGTAGGGGAAAGTGGCTACAATTACTTTTTAATGAGCTCTAAATATCATTATCACATGAAGGACACTGTGACTAATGGATTTATTTTACACTGGCTGATGAAAACATTAGTGATGCAACCCATAGCCTATTAAAAATATGTGAGGCTGCCTGAGAGATAAGAACACCAACATTTTCAGAACACATATTCGACAAGACCTCAGGTGTCTGGCTTCTCCAAGTCCCTGGAGCAGTTCGCCACCCACGTTGGAAGGAGGTAACTTAAGGTGGCTCTTGATCTAGTTTTGTGAGTTTCTTCAGACACACCCTCAGTATATAGACTTTGTTGGCATTCTGATATTTTAGAACTCTATAGTTGGAAAAGGAAAGCAAGCCCACATTTGGAGGTATCTGCATTTTACTGCACAACTCTTTCTTATGATCAGCATTCTTATTGCTCCCAGGTTTGAATTAAAGGATTAGGAAGACCAGACTCTCCGAGGAAATCTCGCTTCACCTAGTGTGGAACAGTGCTAATGTGTATTCCAAATGCCAAATGCAAGTTTGATTAGCAGATGAACTGGACTAATTACATCCCGGTCTGGATGTCTGTGTGCCCCAGAAATATTCCTACAGCGTTTGCCAGCACAGTACTTTTAATAAATGTGAGATGATTCCACAGGCTATCACAGAGGCAGCATTTTACCTGAAGAACGCTGCTACACCTTGGAGTTTGGTTCCTAGCCCTGTTAATCAAAAGTATGGAGAACAGCTGCTTGAACAAGCAACCACCCTAGAGACCAGATTTGAAAAACTACATTTCATTCTAAACCCGTAATGGATGACAAGATAATTTAGGGTATATTGGCCCTCTGTCATTTTCCCATTCCAAACTATACAGTAGGAAATTGACACAGACCCTTCTGTTGCTATTTCTCCAATGACAATAGTAATGGATAATGTTTAATGATATTTACTATATGACAGGCAGTTTCCAAGTGCTTTATTTATATTAAACTTACTAAATACTCACATGTCCTCTGAGGCAGGTATTCTTGTTATCCTTATTTTACAGATGAGGAAATTCCAGCACAGAGAGGTTAGGAGATTTGCCTAAAGTCACTTAGCTAAAATATGGCAGAGCCAGGATTTGAACCCATATAGTTCCTGTTATTAACAATAACACTAGACTAGCATCCAGAAAGACCATATCCTCATTCTCCTTCAAAATTAATGTGTACTTGGTTTATGTCCATCGTTTCAGTACAACATGTCACATTCATATTTACCAAGGATAATGGAAGAGATAGAACTGCCAATTAGAAATAGGATTAGAAGAGATGCAAAAGTGTGGAGTGAAGGAAGAGCTACAGTTTTGGTGCTTACTTGTCTTGGGCCGATTCCTGCTGTGTGATTTCATCTAAATCTCTTAATCTCTCTTGGCCTTAATTTACTGATTTTTGAAAGACCTTTATTGACCATCATGCTAGGTTGTAAAAATCAAATGAGATTATCTGTGTATGTGAAAACCTTCTGAAAACTGTGAAACATAGATTAATGTGAAACTGGTATTACTGATGGCCATGATCCATTTTCTTTGTGAAACAATCATGTCAAATGATTGTTAAATATTTGCTAATTCAGGAAAAGCTGTGATATTTTAACCCAAAATATCTTTCGTTTGTAACACTTGGTTTCTCATCCAGATGCCACTATTTATAGATCAAGTCTTATAATTGTTCAGTAAAATGGGAAAATAATTGTTAAGTTATTTGACAAGATTTCTGTGAGGATTAAGAAGCTATTACAGTCATCCTTTGGTAGACACAGGGGATTGGACTCAGGACCCGTAGTATACTAAAATCTGCACATACTCAAGTCCTGCAGTCAGCCCTCTGAAACCTGTGTATATGACAAGTCAGTCCTTCATATGTGTGGGTTTCACATCCCAAAAATATTGTATTTTCAATCTGAGTGTGGTAGAAAATAAATCCACATATAAGTCGACCCAAGCAGCTCAAACTCGTGTTGTTCAAGGGTCAAATGTATATAAGAAAGTACTTGATAAATGATTAGGCACTTTGCAGATACAAGGAATTATCATCACTAGTATCATAATCATTATGATGACTGATACTTTACCTAAGAAATTTCACGTACTTTACCTCAGAAAATTCATATTTGAATACAGGATTAAAAAAAATATGCCCCAGGGAATGTGTGCAGGGAAGATGGGAAGCCACATTGGCTTTAAGGAAATGCCTACACCATCTCACTAATTCACTCTATTCATCAAGGGCTTAAATGTCAAAGAAACTTGTAGCCTGGATATTTCAGAACACAGCAACCTATCAGCAGAAAATTTTGATTTTGTGATTTAGAACGTACTATAGTTATTTACAAATTTTGGCTGGATTTGTGTTTTTAAAGTAAAACTGAAACAAAGAAGAAAACAGAGTCAGGAGTAAGGTAGGAGTCTCATTAAAGGAGACCATAATAACTTTTTCTTTCCCTTTGAAGTCATCCAGACCTAACCATTAACTAAGATCTACATTTTTTATGTTCCTACCAAAGAAAACAACAGCATCTGCTTATTTTCCCCTACTGCAGTCTGTTCTGTTCCTGACAGAATACTCAAGGGGTATCAGAGGACAATGAAATAATAACTTTTCTAAAACCTCAATAGGTTAGCTATACAAGCATCATTTCCACCATGCTGACACAGGAAGTTGAAATGGAAATAGACTTGACTTCAGAATTGCACTTACGTATCTCTTCTATTGTTAAGTCCTGACTCCACAGATATTAATGATCCTGGTGGCTAATACACTTAGATCTCACATGTAGTTGTGCTGTCCTTAATTTTCTATATATTTCTCATCAGGAGTTGGTGTTAGCACTAAACCGAGGAGACAGACATTTCCCATAGAAAGATGAATGTGAGCAACACTAGGGAGTGCTGTCTCTCCAAAAGGTGGTCATCAGTGTTTGACTTCATTAGGGTGAGTCCCTGTTTCTGCCTCAACGCTGGCACCATCCCAGCATAAAGTCTACATGTGTCTGAATGGTAGGACATCCACTTCGATTGGTCAGGCATCTGTTCTGATTGGTTGGTGCTTGTGCCATTCTGGGATTTAGCACTTTTAATATCTCTCCTGACCAAGAAATTGGTTTTAATGTGAGAACATTCTGCTCAATTTATGAAGAATGTTCTCAATTTATACTTTCCTGTTATTACAATCAACGTTACCCTTCTTTCAATTAATACCACCACTAAAGTTTATCAAGTACTACTTTTGTGGTAGGCATTGGGCTATGCACTTTCCTAGATCTCAAAATATTCAATAACTCCAATGTCTCTGTGAAGTAGTTAATATTTCTCTCAGCCAGAGTTATTAAGCTGAACCATGTGAAAGAGGTCCAGAATGGTTACATTCGCAATTCATCCAATTTTTCTCAATCAGGTTTGCAAGCGATAATCCCTAGTGAACCAAGGCTTCTACTGATGTAATGAATTAACTTCTTTCCTGTGCCATCTAAAGTTGTACCAATCAGATACCACACTTGGCATAGAATTGAGGAAACAGGCATTGAAATGGTTTTTGGTGTTCTGTGATTTAACTGCAAAAACTCTGTTTGCTAAAGGTAGCAAGAATGTAATGAACAGGGCTAGTACTATAGTTGGGTGGAAAATATGCTTTCAGTGTATCATATGGACGACTTCAGAAACTTACTCTCAACATAGAGGGGATGGACAGATTTTTATGGCAGCATAGAAAGTGGGGAGGGCTTTTCAAATCAGTACCCCATTTTTATATTCTGCTATGTTTTGGTTGGAATAAAAATGGCAGCCAGAGTCAATCTTTATTATCAGTGGGACTATAGAGCTGTGTTAGAACAGAAAAAATTTTTTTGAGAATGATTGTGATAGACACAAATTGTTTCCAGATTTAACCTCTTCTTGTTATGTGTTCAATGATAATACACAGTTATGGAAAGTAAGGCATTTCGAAAACTCAATCATTTTGAATTCAAATTACCTGGAGATAGTAAATAACCCAATCAGACCTTCAGATACAAGAAAGAAAACCTGGCCTGGCACAGTGGCTCATACCTGTAATCCCAGCAGTTTGAGAGGCCAAGGTGGGCAGATCATGAGGTCAAGAGATCGAAACCATCCTGGCCAACATGGTGAAACCCCATCTCTACTACAAATACAAAAATTAGCTGAGCATGGTGGCATTCACCTGCAGTCCCAGTTACTTGGGAGGTGGGGCAGGAGAATTGCTTGAACCCGGGAGGCAGAGGTTGCAGTGAGCCAAGATCACGCCACTGAACTCCAGCCTGCCAACAGAGCGAGACTTCAAAAAAATGAAAGAAAAGCCTAAATTCACAATGATGAGCCTTCTACAAGGTCAAAGGGAGTTTAATTAGCAGCCTACAAACAGAAGAAAGCTATCCTTAAGCTATTTTCTTAATCAGATTCTAAGGTATATGGTATGATATGTGACACAGAGTTTGGGATTTGAAGTTTTAAGCTGAGTTCTGTGATTCAGTAGCTATGAGGACAAGACAAGTCCTCCAATGACTGTGAACATCAATTTTTAATTCATACACCCAATGAATAATTAACCTATAGGATTGGTGCCAGATAGAGAGCAATCTTGCCATATAGGGCTGCTCAATGAATGATGCCACATTTATTGTGCAAAAAGGAGCAAGAATTAACGAAGAGTTTCTTGCCATAAGATTATCTGAACAAAATTCTAGAATAGTAACTTTAAATATATTGTTAAGTTGGTCTAAACAAGTTGGTTTGAGTCAGTTTCGAGAAGTTCATTTGTATACCGTGTTTTCTGTGGACAGTTTGATATTAATACTTACCCCTCCAACTCTTTCAAAGTGGTCTCCATCTCTGTCAAAGTCTATCAGGTGTCCATTAAATGACCAAGTAAACACGATGTCTAGCGAGTGATCATGTGTTACCTGGCACAGCAGAACAATACTTTCTCCAACAGTGACATCCATACTGGAAGGGGGCACCATTACCCTTGTTGGATCTGCAGAGTTAAAACAAAACAAACAACAACAGCAAAGTCTGTGAGCTTGTGTGGAAATAAAATGTAGACTCCAAGAGCAGGATGAAATACTAAGTAATTTTGCTTTATTTTTTCTGAGGCTGTGACCAGCAAACCTCAGTCATCTGGGAAGCTCAGACTCAGGTCAGGAGGTCATTTTTCATATGAAAAGATGAAAACACTCATTATGTGAACCTTCTCAGAGCAACAGAACTCAGCCGGGGAGCATGGAGGTGAGATCTCTGAAGATGCTCATGGAAGGAGCTTTCTGGCAGCCTGCTCTGAATTGAAAAGGTTTTCATATCTCTCCAGTTTCACTAGAAAGCCACATAGAAGGCTTTCACTAGAAAACTGAGTGCAAACAGAAAAAAAATCCACGTTGATTTGAAATTTGTTGGGCTGTTTTTTTTCTATTGTAAAAGTAATAAATGTTTTAGTACAGGGAATTTAGGAAATTCAGGAAAATTAAAAGAAGGAATAGAAAAACAAATTCTACCAGATAAAACATCTATTTTCATGGTGGTATAATTTCCCCCAGTCTTTTTGGCTCATACTTTTTCAGTTGTTTTGTTTTACACCATTATAAACATAAGACACATACGATTTGCCTTTTTCTCCTCCTTAATATTATATAGGCATGTTTATTCCTTTTTGAACATAGTTTTATAATCTGCCTTAGCTTTATAGTTTTAACCATTTTGGAACTAGTTGGCATTTTAGCAAATTTTATTAGACATTTTCTAAAATTTATAATTAGAAATCATAAAAAATGCTGTAATGAACATCACTGACAAAATGATACAGGTATATCACTTCTTTAAAATAAGGACCATAAGTTAGCTTTAAAATTCACCTTTACATTATAGTTTAAACTGGGAATAGAATAGGCTTGCTTAGCTGAGATAGTTTGCAAACTCCAAAACTACATTTACATTCATATTCCCTTATTTTTCTGCAACATTATTTCATAAATGGTGTCAGAGAGTACAATAGTGAGAAGCAGTTTGAATTCAATATAAAGGCCATATACTTACCTAAAGAATAAATTTCTGAATTAAGCCATATTCCAGAAATTTCTATATACTAAACCAAGCCAATCAAACAATTACAAAGCAGACAAACCAAAACCAAACCAAACAATAAAAGAACATTGACTAATCCTCTCCATTGTCATAGGACTGCATTTCAGGCTGTGAGGTATATAAATATTTATTCAGGGAACCTCTTGGATTAAAATAGCAGCTGAGAATTTTGAAATTATAAATGATAGGAGAATTTTTTTGAGTCTTATTTACTGACAACCCACACTAAAATTTCCTCTTTAAAGACAGTATTTAAAACCATTTTTCCATCCTTTTATCCAACTACAGAAAGAAAACCTCTCAGATAGTTAGAAAAAGAAAATCTCTGTCCTAAATAGGTTATAATCTAGTAGTGGGATGTACTTTTTCTGTTTTCTAAAAATAGGAAAAGATCATGACAAGTGGATTAATGTGCTTTTAGTCAACATTGAATGAGTGATGTCCATGAAATGAGAAGTGAGCAACAGGTACAGCAAAAAGGTAATGGGATGGAAAACCCCTGATTTAAAAACTCAAGGTTTCTGAGGGCTACATAATAAAAATCTGCTGTATTGATTGACTAACGACCAGGAATAGATAGTGACAAAGGTGTGTGTGTGCGTGTGTGTGTGTGTGTGTGTGTGTGTGTGTGTAACGAGGAAAAGTGATAAGTACAAATCTTATTCTAAGAAAATATCAAGGATTAGCCCCATTTTGACTTAAAAATTTTCCTCATGTATAAAATGAAGACTGAAACAGATCCCAGGCTAAAATGATATACTTCTATGGGTTGTATTTGATAAAGAGGCCTAATTTTACTTTAAATAGCTGCCCACTGATTCTGCAATTTAGAGTTTCATTTTAATTCATTTATTTGTCGATTCATCCACCAAGCATGGATTGTGTGGTACAAGGACAGCAGACATAACGGAGGCTGAGGGAATAAGAACAGTCATAATAACTGAGTCCCTTAGCACTATTAAGAACTTTACATGGATTATTTCATTTATTTCTAACAAATAGGTACTATTATCATCCCTATTTAACAGATGGGCAGACTGATGTCTAAGAGTTGTTAACATATTGTCTATTGTGCAATTCTGCCTTTCTCTTTGCTGAAAACAGGATATCCACACACAAATCACGCAGAGAATAAGTCTAAGGGCATAATAAAGCAATTTGCACTCTTGATTATGTGTAGTCAACTGAAGATATTTAAATGCAGAAGGAATTCAAAGAGTTTCTGCCATGGGGTGCAGATGGTTGCAGAGGGCTTCACTGCCTGAGTAATGAAGTTACTGCCTTAGACAGGTAACAGCAGTGATGGTTTTATGCCTAAAATGCTGGCTCTAGCTCTAAGCTTACACATCAGACTTATGAGTGTAGAGTCAAATGTCCAGGCTCCAGTTCCTAAAACTGTCTTGTCTCCCTATCTCCTGACAACTTCTGGCCAAGCAGCAAGGAGCTGGCACATACCCCGAAGCCTAGAGCCATTTGAAATTATGGCTCACGTTTTTGAATGGCATTCCTGTTCTAAAGAAACGTTTACCTCTTTATGCACATGTAGGGATCTGGGATGGATTTTATTATTGGTAAACTTAGCTGTCTTTTAACCAAGGACCAGAAGAGTTCCCTGAATCAAGGATTACGTTGGTACAGTTGTTGTTCTGACAGCTGCTAATTCATTAACTTAGCACTTGTCGCTGATTCATGTTCTGAGCCCTGAAGTAGCAAGAATCAATGCAAACTCATGCACTGTACACATACCAGAGAGGTCTCCTAGGGACAAGAAAAGATTAAATTAAAGAGGTTCAAAATCTCATTAGTGACTTGGTTTTCTCAAAGTGTATGTTTGTTCAGTACTCTTGTTTTCTGTGTTGTGAATTTTGATGCTTTTTCCTTGATTAATTTCCTAAAATTTGAATACAAACCCTGTATACAAACAAACAGATGGCTTCCTGCAAAACAAACTGTCTCCTCTCCTTTGGTTTTAATTCATCAAGATCGGGAAGAACCTACATCTATGACTTCTGTTCTGAAGAGTAACTTGAGCTATTGTTCTGTGCGTAGAACTTTCAAAGGCAATTAGAACTCAAGATGTAAACTGATGGCTAGATTTGGATGTAATTAAATAGAAACAATAAATAGGACCAACAACATCCCTAAACTTTCCTGATGGTGGTTGGTTCATACTGTGTAGACTGATAAATTTTGAACTTAGAGGATCGATACTTAAAAAAAAATACATATATATATATATATATATATATACACACATATATATATATTTACCAAATGCTTAATTCTCCTAGAGTAAAAAAAATAAATTTTTTACTTTCTGCAGTGTTTTATATAGTGTATAAATGGCAAAAGGGAAACTAAGTGCTTTGTTTTAGGGATTATAACAACCATGAGGAACAGTTATTAACCACCATTTTTAATAATATTAAGTATTCAGTTAATAATCAGATACACAATTAGACGTATAAATTACAAGCCTTATTACATTCTCACTTTCACTGTTTGTGGAAAGACTTTCTGATTTATAGTTCGTATTACCTGTAAAAAGAAGTGTTTTGAGGTCCATTGGATAATAATTCTATTTTTTAAAACACTGCATTTTTTTTAACAGGTTCTTGTTCTATTGCCCAAGCTGGAGTACAATGGCATGATCAAAGCTCACTGTAACTTCAACTTACTCGGCTCAAGCAATCTTCCCATCAAGATAGGACTAGAGGCATGCACCACCATGTCCGGCTAGTGTTTTGTTTTATTTTATTTTATTTTTGAGATGGGGTCTCATTCTGTCCCTGAGGTTGGAACGCAGAGGTGCAATCCTGCCTCACTGCAACCTCTGCATCTCAGGCTCAAATGATCCTCCTGCCTCAACCTCCCAAGTAGCTGAGACCACAAGTGCATGCCACCATGCCCAGCTAATTGTTTCTGTGGGGTTTTTTTTTTTTTTGTGTGTATTTTTGGTAGAGATGGGGATTTTGCCATGTTGCCCCAGCTGGTCTTGCTTGAGCTCCTGACATCAGCCAATCTGCCTGCCTCAGCATCCCAAAGTGCTGGGATTACACGTGTGAGCCACTGGTGCCAGCTAATGGTTTATATTTTTATAGGCAAAGGGTCTTGCTACACTGCTCAGGTTGGTCTCAAACTCCTGGCCTCAAGAGCTCCTCGTGCCTTGGCCTCCCAAAGTGCTGGGTTTATAGGCGTGAGCCGCCGCACCTGGCTGATGTTCTTATTATCTGCAAAACTAAGTGCTTTTGGGTCCACAGGATAAGAATTCCATTTTGATGTTGCTTTCCTAATACACTTCCAATTCTTCCATTTTAGTTTATAATTTCTTTATCTTTCATTTACAGTGCTAATATATTCACTTGGTGCCTATCAGGATAATATTTAATGTGTGTTTTAGTCATCTTCATTCGTGGAAGGAGACACATCTCTTTTGTTAACAAATTTCTTGACTGTAATGGTTTTGATGATGCCTTTCAGCAGGGTTGTATTTTTTTTTCTTAAATTAGTTTTTATAGGGAGAATTTAAAAAATGGGATTCTTCAAAGGCCTGGAGCTAGTCAAAGAGCAGACAGCAAGCTCACCTCAAATAACACAAGGGGACTGGTCAGAGAATTTTTTTTTTTTTTTTTTTTTGAGAAACGAAGTCTCACTTTGTCACCAGGCTAGAGCGCAATGGCACGATCCCAGCTCACTGCAACCTCCGCCTCCCAGGTTCAAGCAACTCTCTGCCTCAGCCTGCTGAGTACCTGGGATTACCCACCATTATGCCAGATAAATTTTTGTATTTTTAATTGAGATGGGGTTTCACCACCTGGGCCAGGTTGGTCTTGAACTCCTGACCTCCTGATCTACCCACCTCGGCCTCCCAAATGCTGGGATTACAGCCATGAGCCACCT